TTTTGTATTTTTAGTAGAGACGGGGTTTCACCGTGTTGACCAGGATGGTCTCGATCTCTTGACCTCGTGATCCACCCGCCTCGGCCTCCCAAACTGCTGGGATTACAGGCTTGAGCCACCGCGCCCGGCCTATATGCAGTTTTTAAAACAACCTATGTGTTCACAGCACAAAACTCTAAGGATATCAGAGTTTACTATATGAAATTGCCAATTTTTTTAGGCCAAGGACATATTATTGTCTTATGTAATTTCATGTGGTTCAGCTTGATACAAAATAAATAAAATATACAGATGTATTAGTTTTCCTTTAGTGGGAGGAAATTTAGTGGGAACAGACTGAAGAAGAGAGGAATTACTAGGCTCTTGGAAAAGGTCACTAAAGACAGGTTGACTAACCGTCCCAGGCTGCCAGAGATGGGGCATTTCCCGGGACGTGAGACTTTCAGTACTAAAACCAGGAGAGTGCTGGGCAAACTGGGATGAGGTAGTTAACCTAAATGAAGTGGAAAATCCCAAGAGGGCTATGAGATTTCTGTGTCAGTTCTGGTCAGCTCTGGCTGGGAAAAAGCAAAACCATCTTAGGGGAGATTCAAGATATGTGGAATCAAAGGAACCATAGATTTTTCTTCCAAATTGTGCTGTCCCCTGCTGTGAAGTTACCTGCTGTTTTAGTTGTACTTCTTGCTGTTTCATTTGTTCGTATTTGTGCCTCGATTCTGTTGCTTCTTTTAATAACTAGAAAACAGAAACATTCTGGCAAAACGCTAATGGTAATTAGAAATAGGACTGCAATATCAAATAATCAGAGTTAGGCTTCATCCTTCTGCTATTTTAGCAAGAACCACAGGTCTACAGATGAAACATTTTGTTCCACAAATTGCCATTTACCTGTAACTTCGATCTGCCCCACTGGTTAACACTTAGGAAAGTAGGAATAATCTTTTACTGCTGAAGCAGAAAAAGTACCCTGGGGGCCTAATATGGTTTCTAAAACTCAGGGTTAAATTGTTGTGTTTTCGATGAAAATAATTACATGTACAGTATTAGCAGAAAACATGGCTGGGAATCTTGACTTTATCTGGGTGACTCAGAAAGCCTCGCTACTCTGTGAGGCAAGATGAGGCAGAGTGAAAGGGTATGGGGAAAGCAATGCTATCAATCTGAGACCTGGTTTCTGAGCGCTTTTTTAGAAAGTAGAGAGGGAGGTGGGCATTTTCATTTATATATAGTACCTGTGCTTTCAAGAAAATTATAAAGTTGCATAGTAGGCAGTTGTGAAATTCGGTCCCTGAAGTAAACTATCACACATAGTCCAAAGAAGCCTAGAAAAGTCCTACTAAAGCAACCAGAAAGTAAACATACATAGTGTGTGTGTGTGTTTGTGAGTGTGTGTGTGTGTAAAACTTATACTCCAACTTTGGAAATGATAACCGTTTCAGCTTAACACTGGATACTATTGTCAGTTCATACGGAAGGATCACACTGTATGAAAAACATCTCTCTCTAAACCCTAGACACACTCAGTGTGACATGTCCACATGGCGAGGGCCACTCAGGATTTGAGTCTTCACACTGTGCTCATGTCAGGGCCATGGCTCCTTGAGTAACACTGGATCCAACAGTCCACATTATCGCAATCATTTCTCCCTTGTGGATAAGCACACATAGCTGAACCTAAACATGGTAATATACAATGAGATTCCACTGTATTCACAATTACTGACAGGCAACAGAATATGAGCATACACTGGCAACAATGTTGAGTGATTGCCGTAGAGAATTCTGTTAAAATTTTATCAGAAAATTATACCACAGTAGTAAACAAATGACTTCCCCAGTTTCAACTTACTTGTTTGAAAACAAAATGTGATCGTGTATAAGAGACCTGTGGCTTGGTAAGCTTGCTGTTACACTGAATCACCAAATTTAACGTGCTAAATGTGAGTACAACTCTTGAACCTGATGACCGTTACCTATGATGGAAACTGAATATTCTAAGCACAGAAAAACAAGTGCAGGTCTTCCCACTGATTTGGTCTAATCTCTCTAGTATATTTTCTGTATAAAAAGTTAAACAGAAATAAACAGCCAAATGCTTTCTAACACACACGCACCACACACTCTCTTCTCAATCTAGAGGGAAACACCAGCTGGCATGCCCCTAGGCACTGCATTAAAGGTAGAATAGATAAATGTTTCAAACGGCCTTGGTTATCATGAAATGTTTCAAACAGCCTGTGTTACCATTAAATGTTTCAAGTGGCCTCAATTACAATGTTGGCAATAATGTCTTCCTTTTTAAGAAGTAAAACTTACAAACTCTCTCTCTCTCTGATGTTTTTCATCAGCTTCTTTTATCAGTTGTGTCGTTTGCTGCAGTTTGGCGTCCACGAGCTGTTGTTGCAGTTCCTTATGTTTGAACACCTTATCAATATGCTACGGGAAAAGGAGAGTTTCTTCCATCACTCACCAAAGAAAGGAGCACAGTGGGGAGGGAACGTCACAGCAGTTCCAACACCCTGCTCACTCCGCTTTTCTGCTGCTACCACTGCAGCTGAGAACACCAGCTCTCTCCCTGTCCCTGTGCTTAGAGAAGCAGACACCACCTTGCAAACCGTCCCATACCGGCAGGAACACGGCCCTCTGACCGCAGCCCTGTCAGATGTGGGCTATCCCCCTCACCAACTTGGTACTTCCTATTTCTGCTCCACACTGAAAATAAGGCTGAGAGCACCAGGACAAAGAAGGATAAGGAGAGCAAAGTACTAAACTATACATCATGCAGACAGTTCCTTTTTTCCCTCCCCATCGTATTTCACCCCCCCCATTATGTTTTCCCAAATTTCTCAGCTGCAGGCAGCATGGTATGACAGTAGGAATGGCCCAGGTCAAACCCTGGCCAGTGTGTGGCCAGTGTGTGGTCCTGGGCTAATTCCTCTCCACGCTGACGCAGTGCCCTCCTCTGAACAAGGGAATACCTCCACCTACCTTGCAGAGCTGGAACAGTAAATGCGATGGTGGCACTAGGCAAGGTGCTCGGTGCCTGGCGCACGTTAGACATTTGGTAAAAGCTCATTAGTATTTCCAAACAAAACTGTTAAGTGGTTACTGATGTATAATAAAGTCAACAGAACGATCCCTTCCCAGCTGGAAAAACAGAACTCTTCCAGTTACAATACCCTCTTATGAGAGGGGAAAATGCTAGTTGGTAAAATAAGGTGGCCTAACTATGTATTCAGAGCACCGCAGACAACTGATCTTCGCCTGTGAGTAATCTGATCATTATATTCTGACCAAAGAACATTACATAAGACACACACAATATAATTTAAACAAATCTGATTTTCAAATCTGCTACATCAATTACAAGGTACACAGACTGTCAAAACAACAAAACTGAAAGAATCATTTTAAGACAATTAAGGGCTTCATAATTGAACCTCTAGGACAAAAAAGATGTTTCTTCAATAAACACATGCAAGAATAAAGGAGGGGAAAACCTGTATTTTAGAGACTGGCGATATATAAACCCGTGAAATGGATGGACTTTATTTGGATCTTGTTTCAAACAATTCTCCTTTAAAAAGAAGCTGATCGAAAAAATTTGAATAGTGACTATAATAACTAGATATTTATATTCAGTAATTGTTATTATTTATTTTGGGACAGTCTCACTCCCGTCACCCAGGTACAAGTACAGTGGTGCACTCATGACTCACTGCATCCTCAACTTCCTGGCCTCAGGTGATCCTCCTGTCTCACCCTCCCGAGTAGCTGGGCCTACACGTGAGCACCACCTCACCCAGCTAGTTTTTGTATATTTTGTAGAGACAGGGTTTCACCATATTACCCAGACTGATCTAGAAACTCCTGGGCTCAAGCAATACTCCTGCCTTGGCCTCCCAAAGTGCTGGGATTATAGGCATGAGCCACTGCACTTGGCCTATTTGTTAATTTTTTAGGTATGAAACTGGCATTGTGATTATACTTAAATCCTTATTTTTTTGAGCTACACATTCAAATATCTATCAATGGAATATCTGACATCTTGAATTTGCTTCTAAATAATCTAGAGGAATAAAGATGAAATTATCAGCCAGGTGCAGTAGCTCACATCTATAATCCCAGCACTTTGGGAAGCCAAGACAGGGGGATCACCTGAACCCAGGAGTTGGAGACCAGCCTGGGCAATTTAGCAAGAACCTGTCTCTACCAAAGAAAAAAAAAAAAAAGGAATTATGGTTTCATCTGCTGAAGTCAGGTGTTAAACTGTCTACTTTTTGTTAAGCTTGCAATTTTCCTTAATTTTTTTTAAAGTGAAAGGCAGTAAGAAAAATAAAATCTTTTAAAAAACAGCAGTTTTTGAAGGGCTGTATGTAAAACTATAAAGTTAGAGTTGAAAACAGGATAAAGTTAGAGTTGAAAACTTTTTTATTTGAATCAACTCTTTGAATCTGTGTACCTGTAAGGAATATAACATAAAAGCCCAACATTTTGCTAATGTTAAAAGGCAGAGATGCACATACACCATTTAAGAAAACCTAAAGCCTCTAACCCTATCTATCTCTAAAAGTGAGAAACAGCCGGGTGTGGTGGCTCACGCCTGTAATCCCAGCAGTTTGGGAGTTCAAGAGCAGCCTGGCCAACATGGTGAAACCCCATCTCTACTAAAAATATAAAAATTAGCCAGGTGTGGTGGCGGGCACCTATAATTCCAGCTACTCGGGAGGCTGAGACAGGAGAATCACTTGAACCCAGGAGGCAGAGGTTGCAGTGAGCCAAGATTGCGCCACTACACTCCAGCCTGGGTGACAGAGTGAGACTCCACCTCAAAAAATAAATAAATAAATAAATAAGTGTGAGGAAAACCTTAAAAACCAGGTTAGTTACCTTTTAGCAAGTAGGTACTAACCTGGTTTTTAAGTTCCTCACTTTGTTCAGAGGACACTACCTCTGAACTTCCAGACTAGCTTATAAAATAATCGCCAAAGTCTTCATTGGAGGCCATTGGCCAAGTTCATTAGCCATGGATCTTACCAGTAAACTTTTCACCCTCAATGGGCTTATGTGTGAGGGGTTAGAAGTAGGTTTTTTCAGCCGGGCGCGGCGGCTCAAGCCTGTAATCCCAGCACTTTGGGAGGCAGAGGCGGGTGGATCACGAGGTCAAGAGATCAAGACCATCCTGGTCAACATGGTGAAACCTCGTCTCTACTAAAAATGCAAAAAATTAGCTGGGCATGGTGGTGCGTGCCTGTAATCCCAGCTACTCAGGAGGCTGAGGCAGGAGAATTGCCTGAACCCAGGAGGCGGAGGTTGCGGTGAGCCAAGATCGCGCCATTGCACTCCAGCCTGGGTAACATGAGTGAAACTCCGTCTCAAAAAAAAAAAAAAAAAAAGAAGTAGGTTTTTTCCTCCCAGATAGTATAAAGCCCTCATTTAAAAAAAAAAAAAAAATCTGAAACATAGGTGTACAGGTATAATACATGTATAATACAATGGTAGTGGATACTGTACAGATTATCATAGATGTCTGAGATACCAGGTATTTGGGGACCAAATATTTATTTATTATTAGTCTGAATAAGGGAAAACAATCTACATGCTAAAACTGAAATCTTCCAGTATTGCATGGAAGACAAGCAGTACTTGACATGTCTCCTAGAAATAACCTCCCTTATCCAAACCCAGTGACTCCTGGGCCATCAAGCGATGCTCTCACTTGTGGTGCCTGACCACTTCCTAATAAATAACCGATTTCCACTATGCATGTTCAAAGTTCTGAAACACCCCGTGATGGTGGGTTTACTTTAGGTGTGAATGGTGAAGCTTTTGCTAATCTTGAGAAGCCGTTTAAACAAACCAAACGCCGTTACCTCTTCCCTCAGTGCATACTGTTCGATGAGCTTCTTCAGCTTCTCCCCTAGCTCGATGTTCTCCTGCCGGAGTTTGGCATTGTGGATGTCGTGCTGCTCCAACTGGGCTTGAATTTCATTTAAGGTAATCTGGAAATGTGCAGTTGCTTCTTTACGTCGCTCTTCTTCCTCTCGTGCCTGCTGCATATTTTCCTCCTTATTACCCAAAATAATTTCTGTTAATAATACAGACCTATAGAGACGACGTTCACAAGAGAAGCTGCTGCGATGTGGGTTCATTTGTTGCTGCCCGGACATGTTGCTTCTGAACTACAATTCCTCTCCCTTATTTATGACCAGAAAACTCTCATCAAAAAGCAAGCAGTTTTTCCTAAGTAGACAGACAACCAGAGAGATGCAAACTGTCCTGCTACAACACAAATCTTATGGCTGTCTCCAGTTCACTATACTACAATACAGGTAAGGGGCTCCCCGATGCAGCCAGCTCCCTCCTCATCGGTTACACAGGGAATCATCTTAGATCGGCCCCAAAAGATCCTGCCCCCTTGCAGCTTACTTTCTGGGTCACATCTTCCACTCCCTAGAGGGCAAAGGACAAATGGAATCCTCGTCTTAAAAAGCTTCTTTTCTGTGACTACTTTCTGATGATGAAAAAAAAAAAATTCAAAGCTGAATTTCAACTGTTGCTAGGACACCAGTGTCAAAAGACCTTTACATGTCTGAACAGTTATCAGCCTACTCAAAATATTGATTTCCTATGGGGAAAAAAAATACCACTTACTTTGAGATCTAAATCCAAGGGCTCAAAAGCAAAGAAGATAATAATGGCTCCCATACCAGGTGAAAATCCATTTCAAGAGTGCTCTTATAGTCTAGGGCCTTGGGGGCTTGTTGGGGCATAAAGGGATTGTGATCAGATATTCTGCTCAAAGTCATACCACAACAGTACATGGGGACAGGCTCGTCCCATTCTAAGAGGCAGATTCCTTCTGGCAGCTCTGCTCCATTTCCCTCTTCCCCAGTTGATACCAATGAATCTTTGGGTACCTCAGCCAAGGTATAAGTGATTTCTTAAAAGTACTTAGCAAGTGAATGGCTGGGGGTGGGCCAGCGGACTTGGATAATGCTCAGGAGCTCAGCAGGAGTTCTCCCTTCCCAGACTCAGTCTGGCTCAAGTCTGTAACTAGTTTCTCATTTCACTGCAGCCTTTCCTACTTGGTGATCAGCTGTATCAGTGTTCAGCAGAAAACTGGCAATTCTGAGCTTCCAAGGCCCCGGCTCTAAGCAGGAGAGCCTTGGGCATGGATTCCCTGTGGCCAAGTATGAGGCAACTAAGGCGCTTTTCCTTGAACAGGAAACCAAAACTTACGTAGAAAGACTTGGTCTTACATTTACAATGACCTCACACAAGGCATCAGGCCAAGCAAAATAAAAAGCAAGGCAAGTATCTGTCTCTAAGAAGAGACAAGGATTTACTTCAGATAGGCAAAAGGTGATTATAAAAACAGCTAAGTCCCTCCTGAAAAAAACAGACAAATGAACCCACTAACCTTTAACGTCTTATTGTGACGCTGAAGTTCTCTGCAAAGAGACTCTAGCTTGCTTCTTGCCAAGATAGCCTTGCTGTGTTCACTCTGCAAGTGAACTTTTTCTTTCACAATCTGGGCTTGCTTCTTCTGCAGAATCTTCATTTGCTTCTGAACATTTCTGCTCTCCTCCAGCTAAAATTCATAAGCACTTTACATTTACAAAGTATAGTAAAAACCTTAGAACTATGGCTAGAATTATAATAAGAATTATAATAAGAGCTATGGAACATATTTTCAAAAAGCCACATACTGTAGTGTAATATATTATTTAAATTGTTTCACGCCATGCTACACTGCCACCCTTCTCCTCTCTTCCAGTTGTGACAGAAAAGTAAGCAAATTTAGGGTAGCAGAAAATAACCAATCTTTTAAAAAAAAATCCTTTAGACAGATTTAATTTTCACAACAACCCTTTATTATCCAGGTTTTATAGAAGAAATATATAAGCCTAGAGACATTAATAAGTTGCCCAACAGCCGGGCACGGTGGCTCAAGCCTGTAATCCCAGCACTTTGGGAGGCTGAGGCGGGTGGATCACGAGGTCAAGAGATCGAGACCATCCTGGTCAACATGGTGAAACCCCGTCTCTACTAAAAATACAAAAAATTAGCTGGGCATGGTGATGCGTGCCTGTAATCCCAGCTACTAAGGAGGCTGAGGCAGGAGAATTGCCTGAACCCAGGGGGCGGAGGTTGCGGTGAGCCG